AATCGGCCTAAATTGGCATCGACCGGTTTGACGATGACTCAGAAAAAAAAATTTTTTTTTTTTTTCGATTCGCCCGGCTTCTGATCTTTCGCTTATCATTAATTCGATACGATAATATTACGGCGACACGTTCTCCACTAATAACGTCACGTCGATCGCTTTGGCCCGCCGCTTTTCTGGACGCTGTTGATCGCCGACGACCATTCGAAGATACGGTTTAAGAAGGAGAAACGCGCGCGTTCGATATATTCGCGGGGCGTACATACGTAATCTTTACGCAAATTTACTTATCGGCTCCATTACGCTCACATATTCATTTATTTATTTATGCGCGGTTCACGGTATGCAAATGCGGACGCGCCGTCGTCGCCCGTCGCCCGTCGAAAGCCAAATTTGGGTAAAACTGAAATTCAGATTCGGACAGTCGGAGATCCCACGTTAAGCCACAGTCAAATTTCGACTGAAATTCTAATGTAAGTGGGAAACAGCGCGGCGCCAGGTGTCGAAACGCGCGAGAGTGCATTGGTGGAAACAAGAATAGGAATTATTTGTTTGGTTCATTCCGGACTGTGCGTTCTTAAGCATTCCACGTGGAATTCCATTCTCTGTACTTAAGCAAATCAAAGAGAAAGAAGAGATAAAAAGAAACCAGTGTATAATAATTTAAGTTTTTTATACTCGCATGTTTCGAATTAGAAGAACCAAAACAATATATAGTCAAATATAATATAATTTTTTTTCTTCTTTTTTCTGTAATTTTTCATTTTAATTATTACGTTTTTTATTTTGCACATCTTTCTCACTGTTCATAACAAATTTATAATAAGCAATCTCTCATTCATTATATCTACTTTTGTCAGTTAATTAATATCTGTTACTCTATTCTTTAAAAACTTAATTTTCATAGATCTAAACGTAAATCAACTTTTCACATTTCCACTATAAATTGTCATTTCATCGTACGTTCGTCCTCACTATTTATACATATACAATTAATTCTGTTTCTGCTTAATTTACGCGGAGGATTATTTCGAGAACATAATAAATTTCTACTCTACTCCGTTCCCTGTCTCTATTGAAGCCACGAGCCCCGCGGAGGTTCCGTGAATCGGCCGCAGCGTTAAGAGTCGGTACGGCGAGTGGATATCAAAGAGAGTATCGTGCAGCCTTCCCGCCGGCAGCAGGCGGCTTCTAGCTGCTAATGATCGCGGTGTACCGTAACGTGCTACACGATTCCGACGATAAACTACAACGCACCCGGCAGCACCCGCGGCACCGCAAACCCGTTTTTCGAGCGGACTTTTTCACGCTCCTCTTCGTTCTCCGTCCGGCTCTCCTCTTTCTCCCTCCCTCTCTCTCTCTCTTTCTTTCTTTCGTTCTCTCTCTCTCTCTCTCTCTCTCTCTCTCTCTCTCTCTCTCTCTCTTCTCCTCCTCGTTCGCTCGTAAGTATCTAACAATAAGTACGCGCTACTCGACGAAGCGCCTCGTCGCGATAGACTACCGGCTTTTATGGCGGGCATAGTATGTGCACCTACGTTACCTTATCTCGTTACACGTGTCATTAACGTGGCGGCGCCCGGTCAAGGTATACGAGCTCTTTTTGCGCGAATGTTAACGACGTAGCGATAACTGCAACACGTTAAACGGGAACGCCTCGCGATCACGCAGTGTGTGTTCCTAATGTTCATGTATTATCTCGGTCCGCCAAAATATTTTTGGTTTCAAAACTATCGATTAAATCAGTTGAGAACAGTTGCAAGGTTTGAGTAAAAACCGACAATTTCAAACTTCCTTACACGCTTGATTATTTTTCTTTTGTTCCTGTTGCTTTATATTAAATTTTACACAGTTCGTGGTAAAAACAGCTCGTAGGAGTACAAAAGTAGTCGAGAACTTGCTATAAAATTAATCTAAACATCAAATATGCTGTACATTTACATGAAGCTGGAGGTTTATTTCCACTCGAGTTTGTGAACTTTTAATTAGTTTAATTATTATGTTTATGCTAACTTTCTCTATCCGTCTAGCAGTATATTTCAAAGAAAATAATAATTAGGTAACGTAGCTTTACAAACAAATAAATAATTACGAATAAAAATATCTTATATATAATTATTGTTAATGGTAAATGTATAATTATAACATTGTTAAAGTTTCGTATTTCAAGTATTTCGTATAAAAATAACAAAAAATTATGTATACTGATACATTTATCCTGAAATAAATTCTTTATCGATTGTAACACATAGATATTAAAGACAAAATATTTTTTAAATCAACAATAATTATAACTATTATTGATACAATTAATTTAAAGGAATATTACCAATGCAAAAACAATTTATCAATTTTTTCGAGACACAGAGGAAGTAACGAATAGGATATAAATTACTGTAGTTCCGCAACAAAATGCGTCTATAGAGATGAACCATTTGCCGGCCACGTGATCGCACGACTGCAAGGATATCCCTTTACCTGGATCCACCGCTTTCTAATAATGCGGCTTGCAAATTGCCCCATCACTAAATAACCGATGATCAAGGGAAGCCTCCTCATTACTATACGCGTAAGATTCCCGCGCGCGCAATTTGCATTAACTCCGCGAACGAGCCGCGACCTCGATGAAGGTCGACACTCCCTACCCTTAAGATTGATGCCGGCCGATTACAGTAGCGACGAGAAGTCATTCAACAGAGGACGAGGGGCCCCCCTGCCATCGCATTGTATGCGTGTCCAAGTTCCCTGCCTACATGCTGCCGTTCGATTTTCGACCGAGAAGTGTCCACCGTGATAATCGGAGATCAATCGTTACCCCTCGATCCTCATCGATTAGGTAACCGAACAGCAGAGAGGAAGAATCGCAGGTTTTGCGTTCACCGAAAAGGGCACCTGCTGTCGTCGGCTGCCTTTGTCGGCGACCTCGAATACCCCGAGCTTTGATCTTTCGTCGACAACGTTCGGGACAAACAACGCCGGCGATGACAGCGTTACGGTGCACCACGGCTATTTGCGGCGGCCCGGCCGTCTCTAGCCGAGCGCTCGACTCGCTGGAAAACCGACCGCGCCGCCGCGCAGCGAATTGCACGAATTAGACTGTTAATAGCCAAGATGCGTCGGAAATTAATTGTGGCGAAATAGGAATGTAATTGAAGATCTGGACGCGCGAGCACCGAGCAAATCGAAAAACCGTGGCGATGCAGCGATGGATAGATTTCTGAAGTAAAAAGTCTATGGAAAAGAGAAAACTTCTTCAACTTTCGATACAAACAAGTATTTTTAATATGATTGTAAAAGGATCAGAGGAATTCGTTAATTTCAATCTGCAAGTTTACATCGTCATGTGTTTAGTTAATGTCTTGGTAAGTAATGGCTTATTGATGCAAGAATTAGACGTACCTAAACCTTTTCGGCATATTTGTTTTTGCAAAAATTAAAATATGTGCGGAAAGTAATGCAGCGTCATTAATCTCTTAACATCGTTAGTTTCTTATTTATTGTAGTAATATATTTATAATAAAACATCAGAATTCCTGCTTTATATACAGAATATAAAAAAAAAAGATTCTATTCGCCCGAATACTTCCTTCAATACTGGTGAATTGTGGTGTTTTCATCACCGAATGAAATTGTAAATTTAAGTTTCAATTAGCGAGAGAAGTGAGGATGAAAAAAAAGTCGGCAAATGCGCGTGGATTACACTCAATAGCCAGCGTGCCATTTATTAATTGAATATCCACGTTCGATGTGCGATAAAATAAACCATAAAAGCGCTTGAATCGCAATTATACAAAAAAAGTGTCTCTAACGGTAACACCACCGCTTAACTGTAATATTGAGTGCAAACATTATTATGCGATACGGTGCAACGCGTTGTCAACAATATCGCGTAAAATAATTTCTCTGATGGCGACGAATGAATCATCACAAATTAATTCAAGATTCTATATGCAAAATGCGTGTCCGGAAAACGAAATACGATGTTATCATCGAGCTTATTATCGACCGTAATTATTTCAATCAAATCAGCTATAAAGCAAAAATCAAATATTGAAATCTAATTACTAATTCTAGTAATAGAAATCCAGAAATCATAAACCGCATCAAGTGGACTCATTTACAGACCATTTATCGAGCTTCTTTATATATAACGATGAGAGAGTTATATAGTCGTGCTTCAGGCTGGTATTCATTTTCATGAAACAGGAAACATTGTAGATAATTCTAATAGTCGGATTATATAATTGTATTATTAACTGCAAATATCCGGTATTATTTTCAATAATTTTATTACAGATATTAACTTTTTAGCATTGAAATATATTTTGATATCGCACGGTACACTCGTATTTTTTTTATCATGTCGTCGTTATCTCTCCATGATTTCATATTAACGAATACGCGTAAACATAATTACAGGTTGAATCAATGATTTTACTAATTAAAACTGTAATGTCGCATTACATAATCAATTGATCGTACATTAATTACGAAGATTTATTGAATCCGAATATTGTTAAGTCAAATAACGGAGAATCAAATCATGCTTTTAGCATCAAGGAACATGTTTTTCCATTAATTAAAATTTTCATTTAATTAAAATAAATGATCGATGGAAAGTCTGAAATAGATGTATTGATCTATGTACGTGTCATTTTGTAAATCGTGTTAATTACGAGATATATCACAAGTGAAATAACAAAATCGTAATTTAAAAAAGGCACCTGACTGAATCGATATTGTTGGAAGCGTCCATGATCTTCACGACCTCGTCGCAGTTGGTCGCAGTCAAAACAACCCTGCACGTGGGTAGTGAGAACCACGCTCTCCTCCACCACCCTCTAGACTTCGCTCTGTCTCACTCGCTCACTCCACTCCTACTCTGTCTCTCTTACTGGTTCTCTCTCTTTCTTGCTCTTCCCTACCCCTCTCACCGGTGTGCTCTTACTGGTTACTTCGCACGGTTTGAACTGGCCCGATTGTCAGTCGGTTCTCGGCTCTGATAGTGCAAAGAGCAAGGTATAGCTGTACTGCACGCGATCTATCGTATCGCAAGATCGTGTGAAAGCGCGCCTGAAGTGCTCATCTACTCTTCAATTAATCGAATCATTCCGATTACGAGATCAAATTATCACGTCAAGATATTCCTTTTAAGCTTGAAAAATTTCTTCAATCAATAACGAGCACTGTCTAATTCTAAAATTCCTAAGCGCGAGCTCGCGTGAGAATCGCGAATTCGAAGGGGTGCCCTGAAATTCGAAACGGGTGAGCGCCGGGGGTGAGGAGGAGGAGGAAGAGGAGGAGGAGGAAGAAAAATCGGGCGAGAAGAAGAGGAGGTGTCAGTCGCTATTACTTCGTCGATCGTGCCCGGCACGTGCGCGTACCCGGCCCCTCGTGCCTTTGGAAGAAGAAGGGTGCATCGGCGGAAGGAGTGAAGAAGGAGAGAAGAAGAAAAGGAAGCGGTCGAAGCGAAAAGTGACGGCAGTGCGCTCCGAACCGTCAAGCGGGACGCTGGAGGAAGAGAGCGAAATCGGTGCACGCGCGCGCGTTCAAATGCGTGCCGTAGTACCACGTGACTCTCTCGGGATACCCTCAACCCCCGCTTAAATATCGGGATCGTCGTCGCGCGGCACTCGATCGGAGAGATTACGGACCACCGCGAATTTTCATGTCGCATCAACCGTACGAATGGATCAATAGAAAAACACAGTGCTGTTGTGATTCGTTAACGAGACTAAGATGATTCGCGTGAGGATAGATTCGCGCTGTTGTACGCGCACGGATTGAAGGTGATCGACATGAACTGCGATGATTGCGTGTGAATGAAGATACGAAGATTTGTCGCGTGAGAACAGCAGCTGTACTATTTAGCATACGAGGGTGTATCAAGATGAAGACGGCGTTGCAGGTGAGTCGAGTTTACCTTGCACGAACGTATTTCGCGATTTTCTGTTATAACTTTACCTGATTTTTGGATAAATTTTAAGTTAGGAATGTTGGGCGTGAGAAATCTTATTGAATAAAAATATGGAATTATGGGTAACTTGAAAATTTTCACAAAAATCGATATCAACATCCTTAATGTTATCATATAGTTAAAGTTTGTTAAAGCAACAGTTATATTTAATTATATAATTAATATACATATATTCGTATAGTTTTTATACAAGTATTTATAATTTTTTATTTTTAAATTATATAACACTGCACCCAGCAATTAAAATGAACAAAGCTGTTCGGCAGTTACTTACGTAAAAAGGCAAATCCGAATAAAAACAGTAAATAAAATTAAACTGCCATACGAGAAACATGTAGACGATAATGGACAATCAAAAATAAATCCAGATCTTAAAAGAGGGAAGCTATCGCATGCGTCATCATCATCAACAACAACAGGGGCGAATGTCCTGTACATTAATTCCTTCTTATCACACACACGCGCGCGCATACACACCGGCGCGGCGGCGTCGTAAGACGAGTAGCGGCCGAGGCATCCCAATCCTCTTTTAACGCTCTTTGATCATCTGGAAGTTCTGCTTTCACGGGTACCCGCCGCGCGTTTCTCACCCGTCGCCCCTCCACCGACTGTCTCCTTCTCTCTTTCCCCTGACAACCGTCGTATATGCGATGCGACTAGGCGTACACAGTGGCCTTTAACTTTTAAGTACGATTTAACGAAAGCCTTTGAACGCTCGCCTGTGGTCGCGAAAACTCCACGGTACCGGTCGCGGATTCTTCCCGGGGGGAGGGGGGGTTATTTGACCTCCGCGGCCGCCGCCCTCGAAATCTTTCTTTACCACGATTTCGCAAGCTTTTGGCTCTCTCGCGCACGGCGATCCTCCACCGTAGCGTTCGCTTTGATATTTTTAATGCTCTTCGCGCGTCAAAATATACGGCGCCGCTTTTGTACGTCGTGGAAACTCGAGAAATCTGTAACCCGCGTTAATGACGCTTCCATAATGAATTATGCCGATTCATAATCAATTTTGTTCACGGTACAAAAATCTCGGGTGAAATAATTATAAAGCGAAATCCAAAACTATTATTTATATACAATTAAAGTCACGTAATGCGATCATATAATGTATAATTGTAACAAAACCGTGTTGAATCTCCACGTATCTATCTTCATTAAATAAGTAGAACTAAAAAAATATCAGAGGTAGCGCGTAACGTTTAACACGCGATGCGATCGATCGATCGATCGGTCATTTCGGACGAAAGATTGTAAAAGACAACACAAAATGTGTAGTACACTTAAACCAATTTTGATGACTTAATTTATTTTAATTAGCTAATTAAAAGTAATAATTAAAATATTGATTTTAATGAACAATTTAATTTAAATTTAATTATTGTTGCTACGCAATATTATTGCCTCGGCGAAAATATCGACACAAGCAAACGTCGTTAATTACGGTGTCGATTGAAGCTCATTAGGTGAGAGGCTGTGTCGAGCGCGAGCTCTACGTAATCGGGCGACTTCCTGGACGGCCCGACTACGATGCCCCTGATCTGGCGCATAGAATTCGCGCGACGACGCGACGCACGTGATAAATCACTTGCGGCAGCTATAGCCGCGCCGCGCCGCACGCGATAAACCGCGAGCTCCCGCGAATCGCGTGCGATTCTCTCTCGCACAAATTTATCGTCGTCTGTCGCCGACAGCCGCGCGCGGCACGTATTAAGGGGATATGGCAGTGGGAAATCAAAAAGAGGGAAATAAATTTATTCTCGCACGATATTATCACTAGCTGTGTCTCCGATGTGCGTTTTCATAACGACTTAATTCCTAAAATTGCTGAAAATTTCGCGGGAGATACATCCACTCGACCCACCAGCTGCGCCCTTGTGCAAACGTCAAAATTGAAAGCGCACGGTTTAAACGAAGCTTCATGCTTTTTTCCAAACAGCCGATTACAATGGCCCAAAAACAGAAGCTCGGAGCGAGTTACATTTCGGAGAGAGAGAACGTTCGAAATACCGTTTTCCGCCGTGGACCATAAATGTAAATGGCAAAAACATATAACAATCGATATTTAAATAAAACATAATTTATTTTTCCATCAATTTCTATACAGTTATAACTTTTCACGTATTCTCTCATTCTTGATTGTTTGACCGAAAACACTACTTTGTCCTTGTTATTTGTTGTATTCAATTTACATTCAGAATATTTTATTTACCGCACATTTTTATTAAATTATTGTAGCAGAAATTGTTTCTACTCTTTAGTTAGATAAATCGACTAAACAATATGTAATCTTTGACGTGCAGTTTTTGTAAAATAGGTACTCGGTTAATTTTAATCACACACTATTTTTTTTATCTTTTTAAGATATCTGTAAAGGTTAATATAATGAAGCAATATTGTTTTCTTAATGCAAATTTCGAAAATTATTATATTTCAATTTTAATTATTGACATTTGAATTTCTAAAATTAATTATCTTAAAAACAAAGAATTAAGAAATTTCAGCTTAAATTTTTGTTACTTTAGTAACTTTAGTTAAGAAATCAATTAAACAATATAGAATTTAATTCTTGAAACACCTAACTTCTTCATTTTCAGTGCTAAATAGTTTGGTAGTTAAATTTTAGTTGCAAATTTAGCATAGGAAAATTATTAGAAGTAATTTCTCGGATACTTCCTGTGTGCGTATATAATTTTCCATTACGCGTCACGATGATGCGGTATACTTGAGTTGCGAATACAATTCAATGTGTGGTTTTAAATGCTTCGGTGATTCCGCAGTTAACAACAAAGCAAATAATACTATAAAATAATACTGCTTTGTGGTTAAAATATGTTTTCATAACAACGTTATTTAAATGTCAACATTAATCTGAGTGTTACTACTATATCAACAAAAGCTCCAATTACCACTCGACTTTTACCATTCACAAAATACGTGCCAAATGTCCATTTGTTACCCAAACTGCTGTAGCTAACGATATCATCGAATTTATCTTATTATACGCAATATGTAGAAACATTTTTTTATATTTCTTAGAAATTAAAAAACTGATTTAGACTTCTAATAGCAATATATTCCCAGGGTTGATTCATTTCTTTTCTTCTTGTTGAAACTGTATAATTCATATCGATAATTACATGCAATAATTGACGCACGATAGGCATTCGTTTATGGATGACATATGTGTATCGCGGCTCCGAAACGGAGATGAAGCGTCCCTTGTTGTTCTCAAGCAGTTCGCAAGCGAATAGTGCCGGCCGTAAAAAGCAGGGTGGATAATTGCGATGATCGTTTATGCCACCTGCTGCCAAGGTTAGCGTTACCGCGATATTCGCATATCCGTGTGTCCCTTTGGCACCGCGAACGACCGCGCTCGTTAATGAGCGTATATTGATCTCACAAGCGCCGCATGACCGGACATCAAAGAGTTAGACGAGCAACAAGTATCCCGTCAAGAGAGAGAGAGAGAGAGAGAGAGAGAACCAAAAGCCCCGAGATTACAATTTAAGCCTGTTTACGTCGGGATTCCATCTCTGTGATCTCGCGCGCCACGCATAGTCCGCGTCGATTCGGAATCCCGTCTCCTCCGGCGTTTCTCCACACCGCGCGCCTCTTCCCGTTTTAGCCCTTTGCTCTGCCCGAGCTGCGTTTGCGCGCCAATAACTCGAGATTATTTTCCCAATGTACTCGCGCGGCTCCGATATTGCCTCCAAAATATAAACGTCCGTGCCGCTTCGCGGAGGCGCGCGTTTTGGAAACAGATAAATAATAATAAAACATAAAAACGTATTTTCACTCCCAAGTCTTGCGCAATCTTCACCCGAGACGTAAGATAAAAATGAGAGGTTTCTACAAGTTTCTCTCCGCACATAGATATAAATTTGCTTTATTTGTATAAAAAGTTAAAAAATTGATACTCTCTTTAATGGAAAAAACATTGACAACTAAAATTATTTATCATTGAAAATTAAATTTTTCGGCAAATTAAGCTTTGAGGATATAAATAATTGATAAAATCTTATTTTTTTAGTCAATTTTATTCTATAATAAAAACTCTACTTCAAACTTTAAAGAAATGTTTAACGTGCTTAAAATCTCATGACAAAAATTATAAATATCTTGGCATGCAGGTACCATTATATTTGTTTAAGCAAGAAGCTTAGCCTGCGCAATTAGAATATATAACCTCATCCGGATTAAGCTGTTACATTTAAAATATAACACGGGCAAGGAAGGAAAATATTAATAGGGCGTATTCATGGTAATGCACATTTCAACCGCATGAATACGAAGATGGAGGAAACGGAAACGGAAACGGAAATGGAAGGAAAAAAGTAGCGACGAGAGTAATGTCCTACTTTCAAGTCCTTTTTACAAACGCAGGAAGAGGTGACCATTTTGGATTTCGTAATGAGAGCAGTATCAATGATCATAATAAGAAGCTATTAAGATTTTGAGAAGACTGTACGTCGTTTCACCGTCATTTACCTAAACCGTGGGCTTTTCGCGCGGGAAACGTGTCGACGATAAAATCTTATTGTCGAAGAAACGACACGGGGGAGCGCGGCGCGAGATTGCTGCGATTTACCGCGAAACTTTTATAATGTTTTCCGGTTTGCCGAGAGACTTTCGGGAGAGGAGAAACGATAGGAAACAGGGGCGCACTTCTTAGAGGCGAAAACGCTGGCGAGCTGACGGAAACAATGCCCCGTTAGAGAGTAATGTCAGTCCGGATTCGTTCTACTACGTGCCTTTCTGTGTGCGGAGACGGCGGAGACCCGGGCTGGACGGAGCATTGTGCCAGCAAGCAGCAATTAGTAGTGGATGGGCGTTGTTACCTCAAGTCGAGAGGGATATTCAGTTTGTAGTATTTAAGGGAATCTGGACGCGGAGCGACCAGCGCGACGAAAGCGTCGCTGGCCGCGACGGAA